CTACTTGCCCCAGGCTCAGTATCTCAGAAGGATAACTGTGCAGAAGTCCAGCCCAGTCTGGCCCCTGCAGAACTTAGAGAAAGTGATGGCTCTTTAAGACAAGGTTTCTGTAGCTTTGGAGCCTGTCCTGGAACTCACTCTTGTAGACCAGGCTGGTCTCAAACTTATGGAGATCCGCCTGCCTCTGCCTCCTGAGTATTGGGATTAAAGGCTTGCGCCACCACCGCCCAACTCAAGTGGTGGCTTTTTGAATTACATGCCTCTTGGAAGTTTGTGTTTCAGCTTCTTGAGAATTTGGAAATGCAAAGCTCAGAATGCCCTCTTGGGTTTCTCTGCCCTACTTGGTTTCGGTTCTCAAAGGGCTGTACCTGCTTTTCTGGCTCCCCTTCCCTCCATGGAGCTTTGATTTGCCATCTGTCCAGCCACACTTTTCCCTGGCCTCTCCAATTTCACCTGTTAAGGTAATCAAGTTTAACGTCAAATTTCCCTTCTTGCTACCCAGTTCTCAGACAACAGAGAGTTACAACCAAGATTAAACCTGAAAGTGAGCAAACATTGAGACTTCTGACTTCTGGTGTGGGGGGCTGGAGGGCTCAGCCTGTTTGTCACCTAAAACACAAAGATACAGCTGTCCGCACAGGCAGGCGGTGACGGGATCCTGACAGGGTTCTTCTGTGACATCTTTACCCCTACTTGAGCTCTGAGCACCAGGCAGTGGACGGTGAAGAGCTTCCTAGGAGAGGAGATGGGCTGACCATGCCTCTAGCTCATGTTTCACCCTTTCCCAACCCAAAACTGACATGAGAACCTCAGAGCATGGAGTCCTTCGCTAGAACAGGTCCCAGATCACCTAGCAGCACAGTGGGTGACAGCGGGCTTCCTGGTGGTAGCGCAGGGGGTGACAGTGGGCTTCCTGGTGGCAGTGTGCTTTACTGCCAGCACACAGGTCAGTGCTTGCAGGAAGGCGGAATACACGGTGAGAGCTGTGCCAGATCTCGGGCCTCTAACCTGTTTTTGCTTTTCATTTTTGTTTTTTGTTTTTATTTTTATTTTTGAACAAAAAGTACAATTAACAAGCCTCTTTTGTAAATGGATTTCCTTTCTATGTATAAAACCCCCGCAGTTCCTTGTTTTTACATGTTCATGCTGTGTAATTTCAAGATGTTACTGAGATTCTGAACATAATGTGCATTTTTTTCTGTACAGATGAAATGAGAGAATTTAATAAAGAGTTTGCAGGTTTGTACTTGTTGAATCTTGTCTGTGGTCACCGGGAAGAATCTCCAGCTCCTGATCAACTGCTGCAGACTCAGGCACACAGGCCTTGCCGAGGTCGTTCTCGGATCCTGGCTTGTTGGGGCCCAGAAAAGTAAGATGCAGGATTTAGGGGGAAGACCTGTGAATTCAAGGCTAGCCTGGTCTACATAGTTAGTTCCCTAACAACCAGAGCCTCATAGAGAGACATGGTGGCTCACAACCATCCATAATGAGATCTGGTGCTCTCTTCTGGCCTGCACGAAGAACAGTGTATACATAATAAATGAATAAAAAAATCTTTTAAAAAATAGTAATAATAATAGGGGCTGGGAGTTAAGAACACTGGCTATTCTTCCAGAACCTGGGTTCAACCCCCAGCATCCACATGGCAGCTCACAACTATCTCTAGCTCAGTTCCAGAGAAGTCAACATCTGACCTCCTTGGGTACCACACATATGGTACACATGCATACATAAATGCAGGTAAAATATTTATTTAAAAAATTTTACATTAAAAAAAAAAAAACAGAAGTTTGGGCTGACAAGATGTTTGAGTAAGACGGCCTACCTCCAGGCCTCATCATTAGAGTTCAATCCCTGGGACCCACCAGCAGGAGAAAACAAACTCAGAACTCCTCCTCTGACCTCCTCGTGTGCGCACCTACACCATTGTTCTACAGTTTGTTTTTAATATTTGAGGCTAGAGAAATGGCTCATTGCTCAATACCCAGCACCCACATGGCAGCTTATAACTAGCTACAACTCCAGTCCACGGGATCCAATGTTATCTTCTGACTTCTGTGGGCACCAGGTTTGTACGCAGTACACAGGCATACATGCAGACAAAATACTTATTTTTTATATTTATTTATTTATTATTTATTATGCATATAATACCCTGTGTGTATGTCTGCAGGCCAGAAGAGGACACCAGACCCCATTACAGATGGTTGTGAGCCACCATGTGGTTGCCGGGAATTAAACTCAGGACCTTTGGAAGAGCAGGCAATGTTCTTAACCTCTGAGCCATCTCTCCAGCCCCTGACAAAAATACATAAAATAAGAATAGTTTTTAAATATAATACTTCTCTGTGTGTGACTGTTTTTGCCTGCTTGCATGCTTTTGCACCACAGACAAGCAGTGCCTATCAAAGCCAGAAAAGAGTACCACACCCTCTAGAACCAGAGTTATACATGGTTGTTAGAGGTCATGTGGATGTGCATGCTAGCATCAAACGTGTGTCTTTGGGAAGGGCAGGAAAGACGTGTTCTTAACCACTGAGCTATCTCTCCAGCCCCAAAAATAATGTTTTAAGTAATAGAAATATTGTAGTCCCAGCTCCTCCAGAGGCTGAGATAGGAAGCTGGCTTCAGCCCATTGTTAAGACCAACCTGGACAATGTTGAGACAAACCTAAAAGGACACACAGAGGGGCTGTGTCTGAATATGTGATTTAAATGGTTGGAGCGCTGATGTTGGTTCCCAGCAGTGCATACAGCAAATGTCACACACCTGCAATCCCAGCTCTCAGGAGGTACTGTGGGTCGAGGCTCCTTAGTCCCTGTAGACCTCTCTCTCAAAAAATATTTACAATTCATAACAGAAAGATCAGTTATGCAGTAGCAACAAAAATAATTTAGTGGTTGGGGCCACCACAACATGAAGTGTATGTGTTAAAGGGTCACAGCATTGGGAAGGTTAAGAACTGCAGCTCTAGGTCATCCTTGGCTACATCCAAGGAGCTAGAACCCAGCCTGGGATGCATGAGACCCTTTTTTGTTTGTTTTGGGGGTTTTTTTCTACTATTTTTTCAAGACAGTTTCTCTGTGTTGCCCTGGTTGTCCTTGAACTCACTCTGTGGACCAGGCTGACCTCACTACCCATCTGTCTTCCAGGTGTTGGGAATTAACAGTGTGTGCCACCACTGTCAGGTGAGACCTGTCTTTAAGGAGGGAAAGGATAAGGGAATAAATGGGGCAGGGGTGGAACACTCGATTCATGTCAAAAATCAGGGATCCAGAACCAAATGCAGTAGCACAGCACAGGGGAGGTGTGGGCCGGAGAAGTTCAAACTCCTATATAACAAGACATAGGCGTGTGCCCACCACACAACTTATAGGCACTTGGACAGGTTGTCGTGTCTCTTCGGTGGCCTTAACTGCTAATATATCCTTGGGGAGGTAGGAGCCTCTACTGCCTGGCTTGAAACATGCTGACCCTTACGGAGCCTCGGGACTTTGGAGGAAACTGCTATTCAGGTAATATATCTAACCCCAACCTGTCATGCTCACATAGCCGTTTTAGGTCTGTTGCTGTTTTCCAACCTCCACACAGCATTCATATACCCACATTCACACAAAAATAAAAAGGATAGAGTTGGGCGTTGCTGGTGCACACCTTTAATCCCAGCATTTGGGAGGCAGAGGCAGGTGGATCTCTGAGTTTGAGGACAGCCAGGGCTATAGAGAAACCCTTTCTTGAAAAAGCAAAACAGATGGGGGAGGGGTGGTGGGCATATGAGTATTTTCTCTGCCAGTATGTATGTGTACCCTGTGCATGCCTGGTGTCTGCAGAGGTCAGAAGTTACTGGATCCCTTGGAACTGGATTTGCAGGGAGTTGTAAGAGACCATGTGGGTGCTGGGACCTCTTCATGATCAGAAAGTGTGGGATGGAAAGATAGCTCATTGGTTGAAAGCAATGGCTGCTCTCCCTTCCAGAGGACAGCAGTTCAGTCCCCAGCACTCAAACACTCACAACTGCTTTTAACTGTAGTCCCAGGGGATCTGCTGCCCTCATATACAGAGTTGTTATGCCTGCATCATGAGTCTGAAATCATAGGCAAAAGCAAAGAGCCTTTATTGTCAGCTTAAATTGAGCTCTCCTGTTCTCACAGGTTGGATTAGGAAGAGCATTAAGCTCAGCTAAGGCGGGATTTTAATGAGTAAAGGATGGGGCGGTAGGGGAATTCTGGATCCAGATGAGGGTTGAACTGATTAGGCAGGATGAGTGAAGTTTGACCCTTGTCAAACAGGGATTGGTACTGGCATTACTACAAGGAAATTGGTAACCTATATACAAGTTAGGTAAACTATCCTTAATGTTCTGGAGCATCTAGTAGTACTCTCAATTCTGATTGGCTCCCTGCAGAGTACAATCTGTGGCTTTTCCCAGTTATTGCAGTGGTGAGGCCCAGTCTCAACTGTTGGTCTGCAGCCTGTCATGGCTACACTGATGTTAGGCCTCCTCATAGTAAGTGCTCTTAATCTCAGAGCTGTCTCTCCAAGCAATCCTCTTGTGTGTACCCAAGTTTACCATTGTTCTGAGAAACCACTGAGGACAAATCGACGTCAGTCATGCAAGGTTTCTGGAACTTAAAAAGGAGAACCAATAGTGGGGAGGAGAGGGGGACAGCAAGTGACGCATCTACTTCTGTCCCCACAACATCAGACATCACTTCAGTCACCTACTCCCTACAGAGAAATTTTGCAAGCCTGGGCCCATTTAGGTTTTGCCTACATCATTTTAGAATTTTGATATTGGCCATCTCTACAGCTGGCTAGTGCCCTCTGTCCCTCTTTTACATGAACATGGGTTTGCTTACATGTATGTGATAGTGGGGTTATGTTTAAACCCCTTATCACAGATGTAAATGGTTTTATGAACAGTGTTATCCTTTGAGAAGGCAGGCAAATACCATGTTGTGACCAAGTTAAAGGACATTTCACAAATGGACACAGCAATAGTTAATGAAAACATTTTTATTCATTTATATACCTAATACATGAAAAGAAAATCTCAAATCCAGCCATCCAGAAATAATTCTGGCCATGAAGTGCAGTTACCCACCCTATGTGTCCAAAGTCAGCTGAATCTGCTCTTGGGAAAAGGTCTTATTTACTCCGCTATCTAGAGCGTCCTCAGGACCACACACTGACACTACACAGGGACAGGAGGGAGCCGAGGGAGCCACACTATATGCAAATGGACAGAACTTTATGGTGATTACAATGATGTTCATGTCTTAAGCACTGACCGGAGAGTTAAGTGTGAACTGAGAGAAGCTTTCAGTGAGATGAGCTATGCACTTTCCACTCCACACCCAGACTTTCAGTGAGATGAGCTATGCACTTTCCACCCCACACCCAGACTACCCTGAGGAAGGGGGCTAACATGGGGTGATGAGAACCCATACCGAACATTCTTCCTTCCTACCCCAGTCCACTACTGGAGAGTAAGGCACTAGACCTAGGCTGAGGAGTATTCCAAGCAAGATTCAGCTCTTAGTGTGCGAAGGAAATCCTGGCATAGATCTTTTGAAACATGATAAAGATAACTCCCCCTCCTCTTGTAATCTGAACCTCACAGACCAGACAAGGAGGTAGATGTCTGCAAAGAATAAAAACAGTTGAATCAAATATGAGGAAAAATATATAATTCAGATGTAGACAACTGCTTAGAGAGGTCAGGAGTCTTAGAAAAAATGCTGAAGTTTAACATACTAAAAAAAGAAAGATGTGTGAAACACTCATTTCTTGTGAAGAACAAGTGTGTTGGTATTGTTAGGGAACTGCAGAAGCAAGCCCTATATTGCATGAAAATGGGGGCTTACAGATCAGCACCTAGGAGACCAAAAGAAGTGCAGGCAGAGGGAGAAGAGGCCCCAGCTCGCTTACCATTTCTGACATGCGCACAGGGCACAGCTATAGCTCAGACACTCTCCTACTCACTGGCTGATGCTCACTCTGAGTCTACAGACGTAAGGACGAGATGGACCTGTGCTGTGTTGATACTATGCTACTTATCTATCAACATTGTGAAGTGGAGGTGTTGGGATGCAGAAAATGAAAAATGACAAGTCATTCTTCTCTGCCCTAAATGTTATAAACCTCGGCTAAGAAGTAAGAGATAGATGGGTGAAATTTGTAGTCCACCCTTGCAAACGGGGTAGTGCAACTGCTCTACCATGACAGGCTTCCAGGGCTAGTGCCAACACTGGAAGGCATACAATTCTCACAAGGACAGTGAAGGTCTTCTCAGACGCTAGCAACCAGAAAACCAAAGCTGTGAGTCTCCAGTGAAACAAAGCAAACCTTTAGCAGTTCCTGCTATCTGTTAATTCATACTGCCACTGCCAACCAGATCCAAAAGCAGAGCAGTAGAATACTAAAGTTCATAAATTCATTTTTCGTATCTAGTTACTTTTCTCAGACACAGCAGCCCAGAACACAATAGGCGTAGAGACAGGCCAGAGCTGGTGTTCTTCCCGACAAGGGACTGCACTCCACTGCTACAGAAATGGGCTCTCGGAGACCAGACTGAAGCTGGGGTTTAGTGCTGTGTTAATGACCCTGTGTCCTGGGACCCAGGGAAGAACTAAAGTCAGTGAGCGTGCTCACAATTAAGACTAATTACGCCATTCTTCCTTGTCCTTCTTCTAAGTTCAGTACCTGTGTCACAGAAGGGAACTGTTACAACAAGCTTGAGTGTATTTCAGATGGCTACGGAAGTACTGAGAAACAGGCTTTGTGTAATGAACAACTAAGAGAAAAGAATATCTTCATAATATTTCAAGGCTCACAGGAAACTCCCAATCCTAGGTCTTCAATATAATTTGTTACCTTGTTCAAAGAGATTTAATTGCTACTATAAATCAAAGAAGAGAACATGGAACTCCTCATCTCTGGTAAGTAGATGTGACAACAGATTATTCCAGAGAATCTGTCATCTAAAGCTGAAGTGTTTACATTCCCTTAAGCTAACTGGCTCCCCAAACTGTACTGTCACAAAATGTCACACAATTTAGGATGTACAGCGATTGTTTTTCCTGGATTTTCAATCATGCCTCTAGACCAGTGGTTCTCAACCTTCCCAATGCTGTGAACATTTAATACAGTTCCTCATGTCATAATAACCCCCAACCATAAAATTATTTTCATTGCCACTTCATAAATGTAACTTTGTTACTGTTATGAATTGCAATGTAAATGTCTGTTTTCCGATGGTCTTAGGTGACCCCAATGGGATTGCAGTTCACAGGTTGAGTGCCACTGCTCTAGACTAGCATTTCTGTTAACAACCTGTATTTATTTACTCCTGAGGAGCCCAGAATGCTCTATCAACACTGGGGGAGGGGATCGGGTGTTTCAGGTTAAATGGTGTTTATGACACCAAGCACAGGAAAAGCTGCAGGCTTAGTAGAAGAGAACAGTCTATTTAAAGCACTTATATCAGGGCAAAATGGGGGGGGGGGGGGGGCAGATTTGCAATTACTTATGTTTGAATGGCCAAGAGAAATTCTAAGGATGCATTTAGTGCCAAATATAAGTTTGTTTTGGGGTACACAGTAAACAAGTGGCAACTCAAAATCCAATGCCTAATCACAGTTGAAGGAAGAGGCCCATGACCCTCCCCCCGAGAAGGCATTTCAAAACAGCCCTGTGTGCCCCACTCTCAGGCCTTCCTAGCAAGACAAGCACCGTCGGTAAGCTCAAAAGTTGATATCAGCAACAGCCAGGACTTCTAGCTGAACACTAAGAAAGGTACTATATAATTTTGTTTATATTTTTTTAAAAGATCAATTGATTATGCGTACAGGGTTCTTTCTGCACATACTCCTACAGGCCAGAAGAGGGCACCATATCATACAGATTGCTGGGAATTGAACTAAGGACCTCTGGAAGAGCAGCCAGTGCTCTTAACCTCTGAGCCATCTCTCCAGCCCAAAAGTTGCTATAGAATTTTAAATATAGCACTTTCCTTCCTACTTAGAAAGGACAGCTAATTAAGTAACGAGAGATTAAGAAGTACAGAGAAGAAATCAATCTATGCTGAAAATACTCTTGATGACACCCAATTTTAAACTATTACTGTTTTGGAAGGCCCCCTGTCCCAATTTGGAACTTAAGTGGTAACACTTCCAAAAGTTAAAAGGGCAAGTTTGCTCAAAATCTGTATTCAATTTGAAGGCAGCTTTCACTCTGTGCAGCCTTACAAGCATATTTCAGAGCACAGACCCTGGAGCTGTGCATCTCTACTTTCATCTTCACAGGTCAGCCAGGGCTGCTCTTGATCTCAACAGCTCGCTGCTGCTGCTGCTGCTGCTGCTGCTGCTGCACTCAGCTTTCTAGCGGAGTTATACACATTTTCTCCAAAATAGCAATTTCCCTTCACACCAAATTCTAATCGTGTGCCCTTTAATAAGTCAGTTAAAAATCTTCTCAGAAGCCAAATAGAGTGGCCTAGCTGGAGAAAATAGCAAGCAATGTATAAAAAGAACCAGTGAGTAGATAACAGGTTCCACAGAAATGACAAAGAAACACTTGAGATTTTTGAGCTGCTCTAATGAAATGAAAGGTTTCTAGTAATATAAATCTAGCAGAACCAATGTTTCCAAGTTACTGAGAACTACAGTCGAATTAAAGGTTCTCAAGTGCAGACTAGGTCAGTTTGTATATAGAAGAAAATTTAAGTGCTGGTGTTATATAGCACAGCCTGCCACCCAAGCTTCACCTTCAGAAAACATCCTGTCCCCACACCTGAAATCCTAGTACTCAGGAGACTCAGGCAAGATCACTGCAAATTTGAGGCCAACCTGAACTCCAATGAGAAACCGTATCACAGAAAGAAAACAGCAGTACCCTTGAAATGTGAGGTGCACATTTGGTGAGTACTCCAGGCACTTCCATTCCAGAGGTTCTATGGGGCCAGAGTGGGGAGCCGGGAAAGAAGAGCATTGTACTTACAGCTCTCAATGGCCATCTGTACATGGCTTTGTTCATGCCAGCCGTGGGAAGCCTGAGGCTCTGGTAGCTCTCTGGAACGCATTATGAACAGCATGGTTTACTTCCTCACCCAAGACAACCCACACAATCCTCTCTCTTCTAAAGGGATAGGAATGAATGTTGAGGTCACAGGCAAACTACACAAGGCACAGTGAGGCTGGAAGCCATCTGAAGAAAATCAAGGATAGCTAGCTGACCTATGAGTAGCTGACAGAAAAGCAACAACTTCTCAGCCTTGGAGTTCATCCTGCTCCTGCTGGGAAAAGCAACACAAAAGGCACAGGGGTTTTGTTTTTCCTTTCGAATACTGGCACACTTGTTTACTCAGCTAAAAAACAAACAACCTCATACAAAATAGCAGAAATAATATTGCAGACAGGTGGCCCTGGCCTAAACATCTAAGAAAAAGTCGGAGGGCTGGGGACCAGGTTAACTACTTGTCCCTTCCACAGAGCAGGCAGTGTCTATGCAATCCCTCTTATCAGTGAGGTAGATGGTTAAGAGGTATCAAGTGGTACCCTACAGCACAGTGGAATAGAATCATCTGCCTCTTAAAATATAAGCTATTCCCAGGGCTATAGCAGACACACAGTAATCTACCAAAATTGGCAGATTACTCTAAGAACCCCAGCCCAGGGGAGTTGGATTCTGCCCTAAGAAATAATACCAACTTGCCTTAAGATGAATCTAAAAATCAGTTTGTCACCTTAACTCCACAAGTGGCTCCTGCCTTTCACTGTGGGACTGGCCTGCTGGAGGGGTGAGAAGAGCCTGGATTGTGAGGAGGGGTAACAGCAAATGAAAAGGAAATGGGAGGACAAAAAAAAGGCTTTCAAGGAAAATGTTTAAAGTAGGTCAATCTGAAAAGCAAGGGGACAAAGATACCTTCAGTAAGAAGACAGGGACGAAGGAAAAAGCTCCCAGAATGATGTTCCTCATGGTGAGAGAATGGGAGGAAGGGACAGTGTCTTGGTATTACTTCCCATGAAAGTCACTCAGCTCCACATCATCCTTTCTACGCTTGTGAGTAAAAAAGGAGGTGACAGGGTAGAGCTTGGCCCTGGCCTGAAACCGATGTCCTGCAATGTCGATCTCATATTCTCCTCGATTGATGAAATCCGTTGTCACCACCTGTTCTTCCCCATTGTCCTCAGAAAAATTGTGTACATAACCCAGGCATACATGGCGCTCAAGAGTGTAGCTATAGGCACTACTGGTGGTTTTGCCAGCATACTTCCCGTTCCGGTAAATGGGTTCTCCCCACCAAGGCCACAAATCTATGTCTGTGTCGTGGTCATCCAAGATGAACATAGCAAGGCGTTTATACACCCCATTCTGCTTCTGCTGCAGCAGGGCATCCCGACCGATGAAATCTATGCCCTAAAAAGAAAAGGGGAGAAAGCCTGAGATACCAGTCTCCACGACAGTTCTTGGCATGTGAAGGTGGGGAGCAGCAGGTACGTGCAATGGAAAGATGCACACACATATATACCCTTCACTCCTGCTAGCTTTTGGAAAACGATGTCTGAGGCACTGTGAAAATCTGCATCCACAACAGAGATACCAGATGAGCTTTGGTAACAGCAAAAGTGCACGTTTCTTTGAATGGATCTCTGGTATGGGACTCTCCTCTGTATGCTGTGAATATGTTTTATTACCACTGGTTAATAAAGGAACTGCTTTGGCCTATGGCAGGGCAGAATAGAGCTAGGTGGGAAAACTAAACTTAATGTAGGGAGAAAGAAGGCAGAGTCAGGCAGAGGCCATGTGACTACCAAAGGAAAAGAATCTGGAACCTTACCAGTAGGCCACAGCCTCATGGTAATACACAAATTAATAGAAATACAAATAATAGAAATACAAAATAATAGAAATTAATAGCAAGAATACTTGCTAGAGGAATGTCAAGATGGCTCAGCAGGTAAGGCTCTTATCACACAAACCTAGAATCCTGAGTTAGAGGTAACCTTGGTGTATTTCCAACTCAAAGTCCATGCATCTATATATATCAGTGTTTATACTTATATATACAGGTGAACAAACTTAATAGTAATTATCTCTAATTAAAATACACATCATTTTAATAAGTTATTAACACTTTCGTGGCAAAAAAATTGCATATACTTTTTTTAAATATTTTTTTTTAGAAATATTCTTTTTTTTAAAGATTTTATTATGTATACAGTACAGTGCGCTGCCTCCATGTATGACTGCATGTCAGAAGAGGGCACCAGATCTCATTACAGATGGTTGTGAGCCACCATGTGGTTGCTGGGAATTGAACTCAGGACCTCTGGAAGAGCAGTCAGTGTCCTTAACCTCTGAGCCATCTCTCGAGCCCTGCATGTACTTTTTTACATCTAGTTATATGCAGTGGCCAAAGGGGAATACTATATAGCTGGGCATGATGGCGCATACCTTATATCTCAGCACTTGAGAAGTAGAGAGGCTGGGGTGGATCTCTGAGTTCAAGGACAGCCTGGTCTACATAGGAAGTTCCAGACCAGTCAGGACTACATAGTGAGACCCTGTCTCAGAAAAGAAAGAAAACAAACTACAGGTATACTGACAGGGAACAGCTTAAATACATTGCTGTGAATAAAGCAAGGTGCAAACTTGTGCCATGCTTACACTATAGAACACAAACAAACTTGGCTTCTGAGAAGCCAAGGGGCAGGACACTGGATGAGGTTCAGAGGCGGGAAAGAATTCATAGAACAATCTCTTGAACTATAGTTTTCTAAAAAAAATAAATAAATAAATAATAAATGCCTAGGGCTGGAGTTAAAAATATGTGGTTTTTGTAGAGGACCCAGTGCTCTCTTTTGGCAACTGCACTCAAATGCATACACCTCACACAGATACACATGCATACACATAATTTAAAAGTTAAAAATATATTTGAAGAAAAAAGCTGGCTGTAAGATGACTAACTTGTAGTACATTAAAGAATGACCACAATCAACTAAAAAAAAAAACCTATGCCAGTGTCCTCCACCCTTTGGGCAGTAAGATATGTAAGCAAGTGTATTCCATGGGAAGATGAGCATCCCAGTGTCTTCTCTCCTCCTTGTGATTTACCAGATGCCAGCACTTTCCTGTCTTTCCTGATTTTCCTTATTAGACAAATCACATTGCTCAGCTGAGAGGCACAAAGGGGGATCTAAAAAAATAATACCTTCTCTAACTTCACACGAGACTCTCCTCCACATTCCATGGGAGTGGTGAGGGTGTTTAAGTCTTGTCCCCAGAAGGCAAAAAACTTCTCAATTCGGAGACTTCGAAGAGCATAATACCCAGCATTCCGGATTCCATACTTCTGTCCAACACTCATGACCTCATTGTAGACATGCAGAGCATACTATATGAAGAGAAGGAAAGTTAGCAACCAGTGTACTTTCTGACTAATTGGAATGGTGCATCCCGAGGATCCTTGGATAGGCTGCAGGAAACAGATTTTATTATTAACAGCTGATTCTCATTCATATTTTAAAAATAAAACCTTGAAGCTGCTGAAGACATATAGCTCAGTTTGGAGACAGTTTTCCTAACAGTTACAGACTTGGTGGTAGACTACTTGCCTAGTGTACACATGGCCCTTGGTTCAATTCTGGGTAATATACATGCAAAAACCACCTCATACCATGTATCAAATGACAATCTAGAAAAAAGTATCATGTACAAAAAGTACCTAGAGGGGCTGGAGAGATGATTCAGCAGTTAAGAGCATTTGCTGCTCTTGCAGAGGACCAAGGTTCAATTCCCAGCACTCACATGGCAGCTTACAACCACCTTTAACTCCAATCCCAGGAGACCTAATACCCATTTCAGAACTCCATGGGCACTGTGTATACATACAGGCAAAATACCCAATTTTCCACCTTAACTTATCCTCCAATGGTGAACCATATTCAAACTGTTAACCGAAATAAGCCCCAAGAAGTGTGTGTGTGACAGGGTAGGAAATGAACAACTAAACTGATACAAAAGATCAGGCTCAGTGGCTGAGGTATTGGGGCCTCTATGTTAGTTTGACCCCTGGATCCCACAAAGTGATAAGAGAGAACCGATTCTCAAAAACTTATCAACTTTGCCAGGCATTGGCAGCGCACACCTTTAACCCCAAAACTTGGGAGGCAGAGGCAGGTGGATCTCAGTGAGTTTGAGGCCACCTTGGTCTACAAAGTGAGTTCCAGGACAGCCAGGACTGTTACACAGAGAAACCCTGTCTCCAAAAAAAAAAACCAAAAATAAATAAATGATCGACTTTGACCTCCAAGCCGGGCGGTGGTGGTGCACGCCTTTAATCCCAGCACTCGGGAGGCAGAGGCAGGCGAATCTCTGTGAGTTCGAGGCCAGCCTGGTCTACAAGAGCTAGTGCCAGGACAGGAACCACAAGCTACAGAGAAACCCTGTCTCGAAAATCAAAACAAAAAACTTTGACCTCCAGCATGTACTATGACACAGCCCCTCCCCCAAACATACTGCCTAAATTAAATAGTTCGTTGTAGTGTAAGACAGGAAGCCTATACGGTGGGTACAAGCCCAGGTTGATACAAGACAGAGTTTGAGGCCGGTTTGGGCTACAAAGCCAGACCTGGTCCTGGGGGATGGGAGATGGGGAGGTAGCATGGTCAAAGGACAAAGATATGACCAAAAACTCCAAAGGAAACACCTAGTATGACTTGTTGTGTGAAACCTACTTCCTTGAGTGATGGAATATAAAAACTATACAAGGAAATCCCAGGACACAGGAAGGAAGACAGATTTCAGAAAGTGATGTGGCTGGACAGTGTAGCACATGTCTTTAATCCCAGCACTCAGAGGCAGAAGCAAGAGGTCTCTGAAAGTTCAAGGCCAGACTGTTCTATATTGTGAGGCTCAGGACAGTCAGAGCTATATTGGGAGACCCTATCTTTTTTTTAATTTTATTTATTTATATTTTATGTATGAGTGCTCTACATGTACACTTGCATGCCAGAAGAGGACATCAGATCCCATTAGAGATGGTTATGAGTCAACATGCAGTTGCTGGGAATTAAACTTAAGATCTCTGGAAGAGCAGTCAGTGCTTTTAACCTCTGAGCCATCTCTTCAGCCCCTGTGAGACCCTGTCTTAATGAAACAAAAAACAAACAAAAAAAGTGGTATGAATGATGGGGAGATTGCTCAGCAGTTAAAAGCACTTGTGCTTCCAAAACTTCATCAAGTCACCACTACCTGTGAGTCCACTTCCAGGGAATCTCACACCCTCTTCTGGCCTTCTCAGGTCCCTGCACACATATGTGCAACACACAGAAATTAAGGTACATTTACATACATTTGAAAATAAAAAAAAATCATAACGTGTGTGTGTTGGGAGGGGAAGATGTGAGGCCTGGGAGGGAACAGTAGTGAGCTTAGAGATGTCTTTATGGAAGAACATGCCAGGAAGAAAGCTAAACATTAGGCAGCAAAGCAGCAGCTTAGCTAGCCACGTTCCAAGACTAGCAGAAATGAGTGCTCCAGAAAAGACAGTCCAGTTTCAGAAGCAAGAAGGCAGATGATGATGGAAAGACTGTCAGCTCTGCAGACTGACTTTCAATTTCATTCTGCTTCATTCATAGGGAAGTTTAATTGTAACTGGCATAATCAGGCATATAGATGTGTGGTATACATCCATAACCCTAGCACTCAGGAGGTAGAGACACCAGGACATGAGTTCTAGGCTAGTCTGGGCTATAATACTGAGACCCCCCCAAGACCCATTAAAATAACAAAGTCATAAGCAGGTAACACCTTTAATCCCAGCACTGGGCAAACAGAGGCAGGCTGATCTCTGTGTTCGAGGCCAGCCTGGTCTATAGAACAAGTTCCAGGACTACAGAGGAACTCTATCTCAAATCAAACAAAAAGTAACTCAAAAAGTACTAAGAACTTTGCATATGCATCAAAATTATTGATTAGAAATTAGTTAAAATACTACTACTGCAGTAGGCTCTTGTTAGTTGATGGGAACTAATCAGATGAAGATGGTCAGTTTTTAATCTATAATTTCATAAGTTTTAAACTGAGAAAAATGTTAGTGTTTGACTTTTGGGCTGCTTCTACCTTCAAGTGCTGGGATTATGGGCATGTGCTACCATACATACCAGTTGATACAGTGCTGGAGATCAAATCAAGGATTTACATGCTAGTAAAACAGTCTACTGAGCTACATCCCCAGCCAAGTTTTTATTTTTTTAAATATTTAAACATTTTATTTCTCTTCCATGTACATGAGTGCTTTGCCTATATGCATGTGTACTGTGTGTGTCTGGTGCCCAAGGAGTTCAGAAGAGGGCAGCTTATTTCCCAGAACTAAGGATACAAGATGGTTGTGAGCTATCATGTGGATGCTGAGAAAGAATGTGGACATCCTGTGCTCCCTCAAATTCTTAGTTATAAAATGACGTCTCTCTTCAGCATTAACTGCTAAAAACGATAAACCCTCTTTCCTGGAGCCTACGCAGGACTTGTGGCAGTGCTAAAGAATTTTGGGAAACTGGTAGCCCTGCCCTGAAACAGGAAGACGGAGCCCTCTTACCTCTATGGGGATATACAGCATGAACCCCGGCTCTCCTGTGTGAGTCATGCTCATCACGCGGATCCCATTTGCATAGCCCACACTCATCTCCTGCAAAGAGAAAGCAAGCAGTCAGCACTCGTCCCTCATGCTAGTCAGGAGACTCAGTGCTGGGGGAACCCTGTCAGTGCCCACCCTGTTGAATCCTAACAGAGATATAGGCCAAGGAATGCATTTTGTCCTGAAAATGGAGCACAGCCTCCACATCTCCGCTTATGAATACTACCACTTCCAGTTTCAGGTAACCTGATAGTGAGAAGAGGTGGCATAGTTATTGCTAAGTACAAAATACTTTTCTTTACTAAATCTTGTTAATACACTTGGGTTAGCCAAGTAGTATCAATAACAAAGACTAATCAAAAGTCTTCTCTGGGAACTCTGCAAGCAAACTTTGGGCATCTGCCACACAAAGGATAATGCCCACAGAATACAATCCATCTACTCCGGGACAGAGATTCAGATCCTACGTTACAGCTGCTCAGCTGCCTTGAAAAGTTCACCGATAAAATTGTTGCTCCATGAAGAAAAGTGGTCCACCTGCGACAGCACTGAAACAAGTCTCACACAGAATTCTGACAAGAGATGGCATTTGTCAGGCAAAGGGTGTTACAAAAGAAGCAAAGAGTCTGACCTCAGTGGGCATTCATTTACCTTTATCTTTTCGTGTTCACTGTCCACATCTTACTTCAAAGTTTAATCCAACTGCTACAGAAACTAATAAACGTACAAATCTGACATTCAAATAAACTAAATATACTTCAAAGAATATCTTAGCCAGGCAGTAGTGGCGCATGCCTTTAATCCCAGCACTCGGTAGGCAGGGGCAGGTGGATGGATCTCTGTGAGCTCGAGACCAGCCTGGTCTACAGAGCAAGTTCCAGGACAGGTCCCAAAGCTACAGTGAAACTCTGTCTTGAAATACCCGCCCCTGCCTCAAAAAAAGAACCTCCCACCATTATAAAAGAAATAATCTCTAACATTTAAACAGAATTTCTGCTGCTAGGGTGTAGGTAGAGTGCTTGCCTAACATATATGGAGCCATTGGTTTGATTCTCAGCACCATATAAACCAAGTCCATACACACCTGCAATCCTAGCACTTGGGCAAGATCAGAAGGACAAAGTCATCCTCAGTTATGTAACAAGTTGGAGACCAGCATGCACTACATGAGATTCCCATCACAAACAATAAATTTAGATTACTAGCACCTACCTTGCAGAACAGAGTTGGAAAGTGGTCTGGAGTCATAGGGGCATAAGACAACTCAGATAGCACATCCACAGCCCGAGGGCCAATCAGATTGAGGGCTATATGGAAAAGAACAAGAGATGTCCAGCTTCTCCAGGGGAACAGTTGAGCCAGCGCAAAAGGTCTCTTCCTTTGTTTCTTTACCTACTACTGTGATAAAATACACTGGCAAAAGCAACTTAAAGGAGTAATTTTAGTTCACAGTTCAAAGTCAGTCCATCATATCAGGTAGTCAAAAGCATCAGAAGCATGAAACAGTTGGTCACATGACATCTGTAATTGGGAAACAGTGACAAATGAACCCTGATGACTGCTTAATTCACTTTCTCCATTTATACAATACAGGCACCACATCAGGGAATGGTGCCACACACGGTGGGTGGTTCCTTCTACCTCAATTGATATTGCAATTCACCACAGGCATGTAGATTTCTCTCCCAGGTGATTCTAGATTTTGTCAAATTGGCATTAACACTAACCATCGCATCCACCTAGGACGTGGCCTAGAGCTGGTGAGGTTTACAAGGTCCCTTTACTTAGGGACCTGAGGTTCAACGGCAAGTCCCTGGGCTCAGGCACACACCTCTGCTGACAGACTGCGAAATGCAGCTGCTGACTGATTGGCAGGTGTGAAGAGCCTGGCTAGTGTGGTTTTTCTCCCAAGCTGATAGGAAGGACATATTTTATAGTCTCCTCTGCAATGAGATTAGGGTCATAAGACCAAGGCCTAGCCAAGAGGACACTTCCAGGGCTGGCCATAAGCAAGTACTGTAAAGTTCTCTTTCCCTCCTACGTGGCAGATTGGATAGCCCCAATCCCAAATCAGTACCTGGAGAACTGTCTACCCACACTAGACAGAATTACACGTGAGTGGCCTAGTTTAAGACTGTTAAACCAACCAGTGTTTAAGACTGTTCTGTACGGTGCTAGAGAGGTGGCTTAGAGGTTAAGAGCACTGACTGCTCTTCCAAAGGTCCTGAGTTCAATTCCCAGCAACCACATGGTGACTCACAACCATCTGTAATGAGATCTGGTGCCTTCTACTGGCCTATAGGATAGATGTAGGCAGAATATTATATACATAATAAACAAAAAATCTTAAAAAAAAAAGACTGTTCTGTAGTGTAACAAGCGAGAAGCACACAATTAATCATAATTACTACTAATGAGAATGAAGGCCTGGGTGAGATGAATGGGTTCAAATAGATGAATGCAAGTCAGTTTTCTCCTTCCACCATGTGCCTCCCAGGGATGGAACTCAAAAAAAAAAAAAGGTCAATCAGTCAATTATAAAAAAAAAAAAAAAAAAAAAGGCTTGTTTTCCTTTAAAGATAGAGGGGGAAGTGTGGGAATTGGTGTTTCGAGACAGGGATTCTCTGTATAATGCTCTGGCCGTCCTGGAACTTGTTTGTATATCAGGCTGACCTCAGGCTCAGAGAGATCCATCAACCTCTACCTCCCAAGTGTTAGGATTTAAGGTGTGCATACTTTATGCACATGGGGTTTTGCATATATCTGCGCACTACATGTATGCAGTGCCAGTGGAAGCCAGAAGAGAACGCTGGATGTGAGATGCCACATGGATGCGAGTAAGTGAACCAGGTGCTCTGGAAGAACAGCCAGTGCTCTTAACAGGCATCTCTCCCCAGCCTCAAAGGTATTTTTATTTTTACAACTATGGGTGTTTTGCTTTCATGAATGATATGTACCACACATACGCAAGCACACATGGAGTGCCGAGAGAGGGCATCGGATCCTCTGAAACAGGGATTACAAGCAGTTGTGAGCTGTTCCATGGGTGTTGGAAACAGAATCCTTGGTCCTCTACAAGAACAGAAAGTGCTCTTAACTGCTGAACTTCAGCCCTAGAATGTCTCTTTAACACTAATTCTGATTCTCATTTGTAAAAGTCAGATATAATGTATATGTAATACAGAATACAATCTATATCTGCTTCTTTACTGTCTGACCACAGAAGGCTGATTACCTGTGTATTTCCAGGTGACATCCTCCAGCAGCAAGTTGCTGTCTTTCGGCATGTATTTGTTAAGCCAGGCCCAACAGTGGACCTGCTGGTCAGTTGGAGAGATCATGAAGAAACTGAAAATGAGATTCCCCCCATAAAAAAATAGTCAAAACCAAAAGGCCAAAGAAGAATCAGGACCAATCAAGTTCTCGTGTAGTTTCAGAGTCCCACAGAAAACACTCTTGGAAATAATCTCTTACCTTTCAAGGAGGGCTATTTCACCATTCTAGATTCTATACCAATAATGGCAAAATTACACAGACTTATTAACATTCATAAAGAATACTCTCCTATTAGTAGGAGATACGTCTACACCCAGTTTTACTACATAATTTCTGTTTTTGTTTCATGTTCTTGGACAGTCTCACTTTATAGACCAAGCTAGCCCAGAACTCGTCATGTAACCCAAGTTGGCCTTATACTTGTAAACCTGCTTCAGACCCCTGACATTATAGGTATGAGCCACACACCTAAAAAGAGTTTCTTCTTTCCGTTTGCCTTTGCTGATTTATTTATAGCTGCCTAATGATTAAGATGGGAGTTTATGAAATAGGTTCTGAGTCCCTAGGACTTTGGGCTCCAGAGAAGCATTGAGTGCTCTGCTTCCAGAGCCCTTAAAGTATCAGTTTAATGGAGGGAGCAGAAGGGATGGAAGCTCAGCTCACCTGCGTTTGTTCAGGCGTGCAATGCTGCAGTCATTTTCGTACCCTCCATACTCGTTAAGCATGCCAGTATGCACAATGTGGCCTACGGGCACATCCAGGTCATTGGAGAAAAGGTACTGGAGACTTTCTAATGCCTGGTCCCCAGTGGACTGTAAGAAAGGGGTCAGGCAAGGACAGTAAACACAGGATCACCCAACAGCATAACCATCCAGAATTGCACCTTGCTGAGAAAATTCAGTGACACAACACCCACATGACATTAGCAAGTTTACTGTTCTGTAAGAAGCCATGAGCAAAGTTAACATTCAGTACTTAAGATAAATGGGACATTCTAGGGGAATTAAAAACTATGTTATAGGACCTAAAATTTATGAAAAATACAATTATACAGATAAACCGCTAAAATAATCTAGAGTTTTTTCAGAATCAGTTTTTTTTTAATTTTTATTTTATATGCATCGGTGTAAAGATCCTAAGTTACAGACAGTTGTGAGCTGCCATGTAGGTGCTGGGAATTGAACCCGTGTCCTCTGGAAGAGCAGTCTGTGCTCTTAACCACTGAGCCATCTCTCTAGCCCCTGAATCAGTTTTAAAATAGCAGCTGAAAAATAGGCATTTGGGGGCTAGAGAGATGGCACAGTGGTTACGAGAACTGACTGTTCTTCCAGGATTTGAGTTCAATTCCCAGCACAGAGGGCAGCTCACAACCATCTATAACTACAGTCTCATGGGATTCGGTGAGCCTCTTCTGGTGTGCAGATTCACATGCAGATAGAACACTCATATATATAAACTTATCTTTGCTGGGCAGGTGGCACTCAGGAGGCAAAAACAGGCAGATCTCTGAATGAGAGGTCAGCCTGGTCTAAGAGCGAGTTCTAAGACAGCCAGGACAACACAGAAAAACCCTATCTCAAAAAAAAACAAGAAAAACAAAATAGGCATTTAGGGGCTGGAGAGGTGACTCAGCAGTTAAGAGTACTAGCTGTTCTAGAGAACCTGGGTCAATTCCCAGCACACACTTGGCAGTTCACACATCTGTAACTCCAATCCCAGGGGACTCCAGTGCCCTCTTCTGGCTTTGTCAGGCACTGCGTACACATGGTGCATAGATATCCATTCAAACAAAATGACCATACACATGAAATTAAAAAAAAAAAAATACATGAAAAAAGAAAATAAAAACAAGCATTCAATAAGTAGGAAATGTTTCCCACCCTGCTGTTTTGTTCCCAAATACTTACAGTGATTTCAAACTTTGTGAAAGAAGACATGTCAATGACACACACAGCTTCCTTACAGCACTTCACTTCAGACTCCACAATATCAAACCAGTCTGGCTTGTAGAAAGTCTTGCTCTGTTCCAAGGCAAGAAGGTCTACGAAATAGGAAAAAACAAGGTGGGAAGAAAGAGTTTTGATACTGAAGAATCCCCCATATATTTTGTCATGGCCTACAAGACTTTGTTTTTTAACTCTCCCAGGAATATATTCTAGCTATATGCACTTACTAATTACCAGTTTTAAAAAGGGGTATAGAAGGAATTGATTCAGTAGTTAAAGTGCCTATGCAAGCAGGAAGACCTGAGTTTGAGACATACAGTCACAGTCACTCACACACACACACACACACACACACACACACACACACACACACAGCTAGCTATAGCAGTGGACTCCTATAATTCCAGCATTCCTGGCCAGTCAGTTTAGGCAATCAGTGAGATCCAGGTTCAGTGAGAAAATCTGTCTGAAAATCTGAAAAAGTGAGATGGAGAACAATAGAGAAAACACTCAACATCAATGTCTGGTCAAATCAAGAGTTCACATACACCTAGATACACATTCATACAACACACACACACACATGAAGCCAAGTGTGGTAGCTTATGCCTATAATCCCAGCTCTTAAGATGTTGAAATAAGAGAACTGATAAGGACTCAAAGCCAACCCGAAATACAAAGTTCTAGGCTAAAATGTGAGATTCTGTTTCAAAGAGACAGACACTTCTTACCCTTATTGGGTGGAACAAAGTACTTTGGTCTCTCAAATCCATGCTTCTCCATCCATCTGGCTCCTTGAGCATCTAGCCGGTCATAAAGAGGAGATGTACGTAACTGCCTCCCAGTCTGGAAGTCCCAACGGGGAACCTTCAGATCGTAAATCAGAGCTAGAACAGATTAAGCATAATCTGTCATCTGGGCCTGGCAGCACAGGTTTACAATCCCAGAGACCTGAGTGGTTAATGAACTCAAGGACTACCTGGGCCACTAAATGAGTTTCAGTCAAGCCAAGCCTGGGCAACTTGTGGTTCAAATTCCCATAGGCTCATATATTTGAATGTGAGGTCCCCAGCTGGTGGAACCGTTTTGGGAAGGATTAGGAGGTCTGGCCTTGTTGGAAGGTATGTCACTACGTATGGGTTTTGAGGTTTCAAAAGCTCACACCAGGCGCAGTGTCCCTCCTCTCTGCCTCCAACTTACAAATAACATGTAAGCTCTCAGCTATTGCTCTAGTACCAATCCTGCCTGCTGCCCTGCTCCTCACCGTATGGTCATGGACTCACCCCTCTGAAATGTAGGCATGCTCCCAGTTAAATGCTTTCTTTAATAAGTTTTCTTGGTCATAATGTCTCTTCTCAACAATAGCAAAGTAACTAGGGAAGTAACTTAGCAAGACCCTTGCTCAAAGTAAAAACTCAAAAACAAAGCAAAGATACGAGGCAGATATATACACTTGCCTAGCCTGCATGAGGTTATGGAGTTCAGTCCCCATACCATAAGAAAGAAAAGGTGGGAAAGGTGGGGTGGGGGTTGGAAGGACATCTTAGCAGTTTTAAGCACTGGCTGCCTTTCTAGAGAACTAGATTGAGGCAGTACTCAAGGTCAACTGAAAAGGGTGTTTTGCTAGCAACACACAGAACGGAACACTGCTGCGTACTAGCTGCAAATCCTATCCTACTTTCCTATTCCTAGAGGTAAGCATGGTCTAATAAACTGAAAACGTTCCTAAGGGTCAAATGGGGCATGAGTCCTATCCTCAGACCTGAAATAGCCACATGAGAAACCCAATTCAAAGCAGTTATTAGAGAGCTAAGGGAAAACCTTGAATGATAAAGCAGGCCACCTAAAAGATTGCTGGAGCCAAGCAGTGGTGGCACACACCTTTAATCCCAGCACTCGGGAGGTAGAGGCAGGTGGATCTCTGTGAGTTTGAGGACAGCCTGGTCTACAAGAGCTAGTTCCAGGACAGACTCCAAAGCTACAGAGAAACCCTGTCTTGGGGGAAAAAATTAAAAAAAAAAAAAAGAGAGAGAGAGAGAGAGAGAGATTGCTGAGTGCAATATAATTAGAATAAAGGTACACTTACGCATGACTTCCATGACCCGGTGGCGCAGAAAAGTGCGGCTGCTCTGGAGGGTTCCAAAGCGCTGCAAGTCCAATTCCCAGACATTTTCAGAGGGATAACCATAGACCATCCACTCAGCAAGGAACCTGTTTAGATGGAGACGAAAAGCTGTTGGGCCTCAGATAAACAATTCAAATAATATAATACAAATCAAGAAGCAATGGAAGTGGGCTGAAGAGATGGCCCTGCATTTAAGAGCACTGGCTGCTCTTCCAGAGAACCTGGGTTTAATTCCCAGCACTCACATGGCAGCTCACAACTGTCTGTCACACAAACATATATGCAAGGAAAACACCAATGCACATAAATAAATTTTAAAAAAAGAACCAATGGAATCAAGAATCTTTGTTGTCACCGAAGTTGAGCAAATCTGGGCAATTTCCTTACATTTTCTAAAATGAACAAACATGGATGCAAGTACTGTTGTCATAGAAACACTATAAGGCTTTTTTGTTTTTTTGTTTTGTTTTTTTTTTTTTGAGTCAGGGTCTCTATACATAGCCCTGGCTGTCCTGGAACTCACTATGTAGACCAGGCCTCAGACCGACAGAAATCTACCTGCCTCTGCTTCACAAGTGCTGGGATTACAGGGGAGTACCACCACATCCAGCTTTTGAAGTTTTTTTTTAATTTATGTGTATGAATGCTTTACCTGCATATATATATATACACATGCATACATACACTAACAAAAACAGAACAAAACAAAACAAAAAACCCTGGTGCTTGCAGAGGCCGGAAGAGAGCACTGGATCTGATGGGACTAGAATTACAGATGGTTATAAGCTGCCATGTTGGTGCTGGAACTGAAGCCTAAGTCCTTTGGAAGAGCAGGTGTGCTCTTCACTGCTGAGCCATCTCTCTAGCCTCACTATGAAGATTTTAACTCTAATAATAGAACCTCTTAGAGCAAGTTTAAGATATAAGTCATATCTATAAGGATATTTATAGCTGTTTTGTTTTCTTATAAATAGTCACCTGGAGTATTACATAGTTATCTCACCAACTCTTTGTTCCAATTGTTTCTTGTAACTTTTCTGAGACTTTTTTTTTTCTTGGTTTTTCGAAACAGGGTTTTTCTGTAGCTTTGGACCCTGTCCTGAAACTAGCTCTTATAGACCAGGCTAGCCTCGAACTCACAGAGATTCGCCTGCCTCTATCTCCCAAGTGTTGGGATTAAAGACGTGCACCACCACTGCTCATAATGAGCCATTTGTTAAGTCACTCAAAAATACTGACTTCATGATTTAATCATTTATTTATTTATTTATTTATTTGGTTTTTCGAGACAGGGTTTCTCTGTAGCTTTGGAGTCTGCCCTGGAACTTGCTCTGAAAATCAGGCTGGACTCGAACTCATAGAGATCCACCTGTTGCTGCCTCCCAGAGTGCTGGGAGTAAAGATGTCTGCCATTGCCCAGCTCATTTTTTTAAAGATTTATTTATTTAATATGCATACAGTATTCTGACCAGAAGAGGGCACCAGATCTCATTACAGATGCTGTGTGAGCCACCATTCATTTCCTGGGAAGTAAACTCAGGACCACAGGAAGAGCAGCCAGTGCTCTTAACCACTGAGCCACCTCTCCAGCCTGAGTTGTTGGGTTTTTAAAAACAGTTACTTACTTGTTTTTTTCTTTTTGGTTTTTCAAGACAAGACTTCTCTGTGTAACTACCCTGGCAGTCCTGGAATTCAATCTATAGATCAGGCTGATCTGGAACCCCACAAGTGCTGCGATCAAAGGCATGCACCACCATGCCCGGCCCGGTTTCTCACTCTTAACCCAGGCTATCCTCAAACTCACTGCAATCCTGTCCCTCAGTCTCCTAGGATTACAAGCATGTGCCACCAGATCAATCTGATTAACTTCCTCCCAAGATCTGGGATTGTAGGATGCAGCAAGGACAACAAATCACCTATTTTTAAGTGTGTGGCTCAGTGGAATTAAGTACATCTGCACTACTGTGTAACTACAACCACAATCCATTTCTAGGACTCATTTCATCTTGCAAAACTGAAACACCAGACCTATCAAATAGTAACTCCCCACCTTCTCTTCCCCTAGCAAATACTATTTTTCATTCTGCTTCTAGGACTACTCTAAGTACCCCTCATAAATGTACAGTATTTGTATCCTTCTGTGACTGGCTTATTTTTTATTTTAAACAAGGTCTCACCATGTAGCCTTGGCTGGCCTGGAGCTCTCTTCATGGATCAGACTGGCCTCAAATTTACAGACTTCTACCTGCCTCTGCCTCCCCAGATTGGATTAAAAGCGGGTGACACCATCCCTAGCTGATTTTTTTTAAATAAGGTTTCTCTGTGTAGCTTTGGGAACCTGTTCTGGAACTTGCTCTGTAAACCAGGATGGCCTCAAACTCAGAGATCCGCCTGCTGGGGTTGAAGGTGTGCACCACCACCACCCAGCCCTAGCTGATTTTTATAAGTACCTATTTTTAAACTAAAATTTTAATTGCCTATGCTGAATACCTATTTCATTTACCATACCTAGCTATTTCTAACCTTATATGATCAAAACACTAACATTTGTTACAGCTGAAAAGTTAAAAGAAAAAAATTTCACAGGTTCTGTGATTAACTAAATGACTGAGTTCCCAAAATATTTTATACAGTAACATTTATGGAATGCAAGGAAACTCTCCAAAGTAATTAATTTGAAGATAACAACTCAAAAATGTTTATTATTATTAACATTACTATCTGGTCACAGAACATATTAACAACAAGTAACCTGAAAGGGAAGAACCTGGCAAGCTAAGGTGTCCATAGGTGACTCTATGGAAAAAAGACTTACTTTCCAGCTCCTCCACCCAACGACAGGCCAGCAGAGTTCATCCCTGCCAGGACAAAGTAGCCCTGTACTACAGGAGACTCGCCCATGATGCACTTCATGTCTGGTGTGAAGGTCTCAGGGCAATTCACCAACTTCAAAATCTCCAGAGTCTCCAATACTGGCATCCTACGCAGGAGGGAACTCAACAGGGGCTCTGAGCAATCAAAACAAACCCAAACAGAGTCCTCACCTTTAGGGAATAAAATTTTTTAAAGTTCTTATAGTTTTTACTCCTTCCAAAAAAATCTTTTAGGGAAGACTTTTCTAAGAGTCATTTGGTCAGTTATGAGAAAGAAGAAAGTTTGGTGGAATTACAGAACACAACTACAAAATGCCTGGCATTCAGAGTAAGAAAAGCCACACTTTTCAAAGGCAAGGCGCTTCAGAACATAAAGTAATACATGAGGTTACACACAGGCAGTGATCTCAAAGGGTCAGGGTGTCGGGAAAAGGTCTTACAGACCACCTAATGTTTCCATGAAAGACAGTGTTTCCTACATGAGACAGACGTACAAACAAGTGTGCACCTTGTTCTATACTATCTCTGGCCACTGTTCCATGTGGCAGCAGTAATACATGGAAACAGGAGTAACTGGTTGATGGGCACAGGGTTTAAAGTTTCCCCTAAGCAGCAGCTTATTTTAAAAGTCCATCAAGGATGAGAAATGGGTATCTTTTCATACCCTTTCAATTTATAACCATGTAACTACAATAATTATTTAATAAAGACAATTAAAGTGATTTAAAGACTTAATAAAGACCATATTACCAAAAAAAAATCTACTTTCACAATCTCCTGCCTCAGCCTTCCACATGCTGTGATTACTTGCAGGCACATATCACCATACCTGGCTAATAGTTCAGCTTCGTAAAAACCTCTTCAATTTCATAAGTCTTACCAAAAGAAGGTCCCCTTCTAAAGTATCAACAGCAATTTAAGTAAATGATGAGTCAAAAGTTCATTAAACAAGACTGTAGACCCCTGAGTCCAACCAGTACCCACATCCTTAGATCAGGTAAACTCTAGACTATTTTTCATGATTACTATTGTGCTTCCTGGAGTTGTCTTAAAGATAAACAAAAAACTATTCATGAAAATGCCTTTAAAAAAATGTAACATTTTTGAAAAGTAGAAAGCATTTTGTTATTATAGTTTACTTCACATACCGAAGTGATCCCAATCTTCCCTCAGGTTCTGAATTTCCAACTGGTTCTTGCCCTCAGTGAAAATAGGTTTTGGGTTCTTCTCAAAGCCTCCAGACAATATGCCACCCTGCCAGTTCCTGATGTAAATTCTTCCATCAGCATCCACAATAGCTGAAGAGAAATGACAAGGAAGTAGAGTAAGGAGAAAAACAGGGATTAGAAACCAGCCAGATTCTGAGATGAAGAGAGAAAGAAAACACTCATGAATGACTTTACTAACAGCCCAGCATGCAATAAATACAGTTATCCATTAGTTTTAAAATACCATTGGAGGTCATGAGGAAGAATTACAGAGAAGGTAGTTTCTCCAATTATCCCAAACATGACTGGGAACCTAAAAGTTTTGCCAATACTTCACAACCAAACTATATTAAAAGTTTGGTTTTAATAAAGACTTACTTTCCAGCTCCTAGCCAAAGTCTAACAGGAATGGGAGGCGCAGAGTTCATTCTCTGAAAAGGTTATCAAAAGCCTTCTAAGATAGGTATGCCTGTCTCTGCCTCCACGCACATAAAGTTTCATGCCAGCCAGGACTATACAATGAGACCTTGTCTCAAGATATAAAATAAAACCAGGCAGCGGTGGCACACGCCTTTAATCACAGCACTCAGGAGGCAGGGGAATCTGAGCTTGAGGCCAGCCTGTTCAACAGAGTGAGTTCCAGAACAGCCTGGGCAATACAGAAACCTTGTCTCAAAAAACCAAAAATAAAACAAAACAAAGCCCACCCTTTCCCCTTCAGTGGTTTGTAACCATTAAATTAAGCATATAGCCTACCTATACCCTTCTACAACTGACACCATTCAAAGGCAAAAGGCAAAAGTGATATTCCAAAATTCTCAATGACCTCTATTAGGACTTAAATTAGCTTATAAGACAACAACAACAAAAATAAACAAAAAATTGTTTAATGACATGTTCATTTTGGCCATCTTTTCCTAAGACATAATCAAAGGAAAGTTAAAACTGGATCCACCTCCCTGTAACACGTTCCAGAAAAGAAAAAATTCCTCTAGGCATAATGTGTCCTTAATGAAAAGTCTTCCTTTCAAAGGACATCAGCAAAGAGATAATATTAAAAAAAAAAAAAAAAAGTACAAGTCCTCACTTGGTGTGTTGCTCTGCAGAGGGGTATCCCAGGGACGAGTCAGAAGGTAGAAGTGTTCACAGGCATGTAGCGGGATACTAACCGGCTCCTCGTTGGACAGACCCAGCTCGTATGCCCACTGCAATGGACAATTTGTAGGTGGGAAGAGGAACAGAAACACAAATGAGCAAGTTCAGCCTCTTGAACTAATTTCAAGTGGCCTGAGCGCTCCTACTGCAATGTCAGGCACGGGAAGTAAAGTTCAGCCTGCCCTATCTAGTTCAATTATTTCAACAGTGAGCAATGCTGTACTTTTTAAAGCATAAAATTATCTTTTCAATGAAAAGATGGATTTCCTAGTCAAAAGAAGCCCTCTAAATATAATGTCGGGCATCAGCTAGAAACCCCAAACACCAACCATTAAATGCACGATCTGTAGCAGAAAGTATTCCAACATCTGCTTTAGACTGCAGAGTAGAGAACAAGTGACCACTCTGCCTCAGAAGTAGAAGCAGCTTACGTTCTAGAAACTGGATCCATTGTTCTGATTTATATTTGAGTTTTTAAAATGAATTGTAACATCATAAAAATTTAGCTCTAAAACCATGATTCATGCTAATGCCTATTTGGTGGTCTTCTACTAGGATGGCACTACTTTAACCCCGTGTGGAGAGCTGCCTGGATCTGTAAACTAAGAATAGGTTTCTGGTTTAGAACACAATTCTGGATTGTATTCCTAGTCCACATAAGCAGTGTAATGCCTGGTGTCTCTTTAACCAGTAAAACGACAATCTTATATCTCTACACAAAAACTCCAAGTTAAACCAAGTCAAAAACTTAGTGCCGTGGTCAACCTACCTGACCAGCACAGTTGACAAAATACTGGCATTCAATCTGTCCTTTATCTGTCTCCACACCAGTAACTCGACCTTTTTTGATCAATACATGAAGAACACTTGTCCGATCATAAATCTGAACACCTGTTCCAAAATGAAGAAAAAGAAGGCAAGTTATTAGTGGGCAGTGGTGGGCACACCTTTAACCCCAGCACACCAAGGCAGAAGCACGAAGATCTCTGAGTTTGCGACCAGCCTGTTCTACAGAGCAAGTTCCAGGACAGCCAGAGCTACACACAGAAACCCTGGGGGGGGGGGGGGGGGGGGGCGCACAAATTATTTGATGTTACAGAATTAAGGTCTCTGAAGCAGAATCTCTGCTCCAAAGGGGCACGGGAAAAACAGGGTCAGTACTTAAACAAACAAAACCTCGGCAAAGTATGATGCCGTACCCATGTAATTCCAGTACTTAGGAGTCTGAGATCTGGCTACATGGCAAGTTCCAGGACAGCCTGAACTAATAGTGAAACCCTACTTAAAAAAAAAAAAAAATCAAAGGCAAGGAATATAGGTTAGTAGTAGAACACCTACCTGCCTGGCAAAAGCCCTGTGTTCAATCCCCAGCACTATAATGAATCATAAAGTATATGTAACACTCTAGACAGTAGTAAGTCTTTTTCTGATTTACTCTGGATCACATTTAAGCTATAGATTAAACTACCAAATTTTTCTCTAGCCTTGGCACTTCTCAAGTTCAGTGGCAGGGGCTCTCATAAGTCTGATGTGTATGAATCAACACAAGTAGCTCCTTGGAACAACAACAACAAAAATTAACTCTAAGAAAAATATTCAATGGATCAACTGAAAAACACACTACAGTGATCAAAACAAGAAAACTGAATATCCCAATGAAGATGCTTTCTCCATGCCTGAGCTGGTGGTGTTCCCTACCATGATACGCTTTCCAAATCCATGCAAATGATAGTAACAACAAAAACAAATAAACAAATAAATAAAAAGACCCACTTACCATTCTGGGAGGCAGCACTTGCCAGGGCAAGAGCCACATCAGCAGAGGACACCACTGCATCCTCGGGAACATGCATGGCCCCCACCAGATCGTGCACATTGAGGAGAGGGTGAAGTTCAGCCACTTTCTTCGGGGAGATGATCTCAGAAGGGATACCTACAACACTGCCACAAAACACAAGGGGACAAAGACATTCATGGGCTCTGTGACAGAGTCAAGTGGGTAAAGTCAGGACGGTGTCTAGTCTCTTACATACTTCAGCCTTGAGCTGATGCGCTTCAGAGAGATCAACCGGTCTTGAGTTTGGGCCAGAGAGATTGAGCCTGTCCTTAAGTACCCTGTAAGAAAAGTCAATCAAGTGATCAGTCCAGTGGGATCCACTAGATTTATAGGTTAGACCTGCTATAATCCTAGTGCTTCTACTTAATATCCTTGAGTAAATGAATTTGCTCCCTTTGGGCTTCTAGCAAAATTTACAACACATCAGAGACATAACTGCTTTCAGCTCACACTGAGCTGAGCGTCAACTAGAATTCTAGCATATACAAAAGCACTCATGGGCTAGAGAGATGGCTCAGCGGCTGAGAGCACTGACTGCTCTTCCAGAGGTCCGGGTTCAATTCCCAGCACCCACATGGCAGCTAACAAGTGTCTGTGACTCCAAGATCTGACACCCTCATACGGACAAATGTGCAGGCGGGGCACCAATGTACATAAAATTAAAATAAGTAAGTAATTTAAAAAATAAGGCACTCATAATAATAACAAAAGTTACTATGTCTAAAAGTCTTACTAGGGCAAGAACTCATCTCTTTATTAGACAGTTTACCTCTTTCCTGTCTAGTCTTGGTGGAAGTACATTGTTTGGTAAAAGTCATTCATAACACTCATCACCAGAGCCGGGCAGTGGTGGCGCACGCCTTTAATCCCAGCACTTGGGAGGCAGAGACAGGTGGATCTCTGTGAGTTCGAGACCAGCCTGGTCTACAAGAGCTAGTTCCAGGACAGGCTCCAAAACCACAGAGAAACCCTGTCTTGAAAAACCAAAAAAAGGTTAAGAGCACTGACTGTTCTTCCATAGGTCCTGAGTTCAATTCCCAGCAACCCACATGGTGGTTCCCAACCATCTGTACTGACATCTGATGCCCTCTTCTGGCCTGCAGGCCTACATGGAGGCTGAACACTGTGTACATAGTAAATAAATGATTTAAAAAAAAAAAACATTCCACAGGAAAAACCAAAAAAAAATAAAAATAAAAAAACACTCATCACCAGAGAGTCAGATCCCCGCTCCTTCCCCAGTACAGCCAAAGAACAAACTGAGCTGAACTGTGATTTAACTGCTAAGACCTGAACATAAGTTCTTTTCCTTCTCTTGTTTAGGAGCTAAGTGCTACCCTTTTACTATATCTAAATGATTAAAATATATTTTTTAAATGGCCTAGGAAAACTTTCCTATCATGAAAATGATAGGATCTGAAGGCCCTAGGTTCAATCCCAAGCACTCCCACCAAAAAAAATAAAATACAAAAGTTATAGATTCTGAAAATGACTTGGGTTACTGAATGTAATTTCTTTTCTCTATAGGTAAAGTTGAAGGCAAGCTACATGACCTGCCCAAAGGAACACCCTGATTTGAGGCAAATTTTCAAACACAAGTCTTAATCACCAGATCCGATAAAGTAAAAGACCACACAGCAACTATGAGTAAGGATTTAAAGACAAGAAGACCAATAAACAGCAGATTACCTGCTTACCTGTTTGGATCCCTGTTTCTTGCTCTAACTGATGGTAGAGTTTGTTTGAATAGTCTGCCATCTTTTGTTCAATACTTGAATGCCTAGCAGTGCTTAGGATGCCAGCACAGAACCTTGTCGAGCCAGCAGCCAGCCTGCAGCACAGGAGCAAAATACTGTTAGAAAGGTTCACTTGTATCTACTGATATAAATTCAGGGTGCAGCACTAGAGAAGTTTCAGCAGGTTAAGAGCACTGGTTGTTCTCACAAAAGACCCAAGTTTGACAGGTGGCAGTGGCACACGCCTCTAATCCCAGCACTCAGAAGGCAGAGGCAGGCAGATCTCTGTGAGTTCGAGACCATCCTGGTCTACAGAGCAAGTTCCAGGACAGCCAGGGTTACATTGTGAAACCCTGTCTCAAAAAAAAAAAAAAAGAAAAGAAAAGAAAAAGAAAAAAATCTTTACCCACCCCAAAAAGACAAAGGTGGAGAGAGAACCATCCATACACATATACACCCCACATTATAACACCCTTTTCATCTATTTTTATGTGTATGAGTATTTTGTTTACATATATCTTTGCACCACATGTGTACCTCATGCCCACAGAGGCCAGAAGAGTGTGTCAGATCCCCTGGAACTGGAGTTCAGATGACTATGACATGCCACGTGGGTGCTGGGAACCAACCTGGGTCCTCTAGAAGAGTATCCAGTGCTTTTAACTGCTGGGCTCTCAAACCCATTAAATCTAAAACTATGCTGAATTCAATGAAAATTAATAAAAGGAAATGGCCAGAATTTTGTTCATCTCAAGAGCACAGGATGCAGCTGTGCAGTGTGAGGAGGATGGCAGCAGAGAGGAAGACGAGCTGTGCTGTGAACGCATGTCCTCTTACACACGCTATTGAAATCTGCTACCTCTCTAAAATGCAGAAAACGTTAGTGCTAGAACACAGCTAACCACGGGGAAGATTTCACCCGGGTCTTCTCTCACTAGAGTACTACATTTAGATGACCTGTTACAGGTATGACATCATGGAAAAGTCAGAAAATGAAGGAGCCCTATACTGTTATTGCAGCCAAACCCCAAGACAAGCCAATCTGATCCTTACCTGCCCTGCTCCAAAAGGACAATATCCTGCCACCCCATTTTGGAGAGGTGATAGGCCACGGATGTACCCATGATTCCACCCCCACAGATGACCACCTGGGCCTGGGCAGGCAGGGCAATAGAATGTGCCTCGGCAGTGGATGTGCTGCTTCTTGCTGATGACCAGGTCTGCCATCCTGGGCTAGTTCTTTGTCTTTGGACAATCGAAAGCAACCGGAAAAGCATCACCAACTGGGAGATAGGGTCTCAGCTGAGAAGATCCAAAGAATCCAAACTAAAAAAAACAAAACAAACATTTTTTTCACTCCATTTAACTCAGTTCTTATAACTAAGAGAAAAGGACTTAACAACAAAAAAAAAATAAAACAAACAAAACAAAAAACAAAAAAACAACCAAGTCAGGCACAGTGGCACAAGTCTTTAGTCACAGAGGATTAAACTCTAGAGGCTTAGGAAGGAGAATCTCTGAGTTCAAGGTCAGCATGGTCTACACAAAAAGTTCCAGGGGAGCCAGAACTACATAGGGAGATTCTGTTTCAAAAAAACAACACACATACACACACCCCACCACCACCAACAGCAAGCAAGCAGGCCAACAAAAAACAAGCATAAAGAAGCCTATTCTAGGCCTAGCAGCACAGCCTATAATTCTAGCACTCAAGAGGTGGAGACATGAGGATCCACAGAAGTCCAAGATCATCCTCAGCTACACCAAGATTTTCAGGCCAGCTTAGGTTGGAAATCTTATCTAAAGATAGATACTGACAGACAGACAGACACAGACAAAAAGAATAAGAGCCAGTGAGATAACTTGGTGGGTGGAGGCACTTTGCCATGGAGCCTCATAACCTGAGTCCAACACCTGTAATCCAGCAGAAGTGTTGGGGAGATGCAAAAACAAAGAACAGAGTCCTTAGGAAAAGAAGAGACATGACCCAGAACCCAGTGAAAGCGGCCTGGGAAACAGTAAAGACTAAAGTATTAGACATCGTTCCAAGGAAAGAATGAAAAGGGTTTTAGCTTATCATTTACACACAAATCATACATATTTCTTTTTTGTTTCGTTTTGTTTTTTGAGACAGGGTTTCTCTGTATAGCCTTTGCTATCCTGAAATTCATTCTGTAGACCAGGCTGGCCTTGAACTCGGAGATGCACCTGCCTCTGCATCCCAAGTACCAGAATCAAAGGTGTGGGTCACCACCGCCTGGCTAAGTCATATATATTTCTACAAGATAATATTAATAGGCTAAAGAAAAAGGCAACGGTTAAGGTCATCAGGAAAAGGATCATACTCAAAGTACGATTTAAGTTGACTCTTGGAAGACTAAAGGCTGGACAGAGACAAAGATATGGAAAACACACAAAGATAACAGAACAGATCTGACTATCATATCTGCTTAGAATGGCAATAAGGAAACAAGTGAATGCTGGGTAATAGGAACTGAAGGAAGAACCCAACCACAAGAGACTGATACGGTCTAGTATACAAATTACTACTGGTTGAAAACAAAAAGGTAGGGTTTTGACAAAATCTAACAGGAATACAGAGAACTATTTAAGTCTCAAAAAAAAAAAAAAAAGCTGACCTACTGGCAGACTATGCCAGCATTAAAGAGCTTAAGACACAGGGTGGCAGATATGTGAGAATCAGAGCAGTACAATGCTAGTAAAGCTGCCACCTTCTCCACTACAGACTCCCCATTGGTTCATGTCCTCTAAGGCCAAAGACACACCATCAGAAAGGACTCAGAACCGTAATCTTTTTTAAATGTCCTTTAGATTTATTTTTATGTATGAATGTTTTGTTTGCAGGTGTATCTGTGCACCACATGTATACATGGTGCCTGAGAAGGTCAGATCTGCTAAGACTGGAGTTACAGATGGTTGTGAGTCTCATGTGGGTGCTGGGAATCAAACCAGGGCCCCTTAGAAGAGCAGTCAATGCTCTTAATGACCGTGCCAGCTCTCTAGCACTCAGAACTGGGCAGACAGGGTACACAGAGAAAATCTCATTCAAATGGAGACCAATATCACTTCTGGCTTCCTGTTAGGCTCTACCTCAAGTTTTACAGTCTGGTATAGTGACCCACAACTATCACCCAGCACTTTGGAAACTAAAGCAGAGAGGTTTTGATATTTGCAGACTAACCACAGCTCAAAATATTCCAAGACAAAAATAACAACATCAAAGCTAGGTGGTGGTGGAGCATGCCTCTAATCCCAGCACTTGGGAGGCAGAGGCAGGTGGATCTCTGGGAGTTTGAGGCCAACCTGGTGTACAGAGCGAGTTCCAGAACAGTCATGGCTGTTACACAAGATATCCTCTAAAAAAAAACAAAAACAAAAACACAAAACAGGGGCTGGAGAGATGGCTCAGTGGTTAAGAGCACTGGCTGCTCATCCAGAGGTCCTGAGTTCAATTCCCAGCAACCATATGGCAGCTCACAACTGTCTGTAACCCCAGATCCAGGGGATCTGACACCTTCACACCAATGCACATTGAAAATAAAGTGAAATAAATTATTTAAAAAAAAACAAAAGGGAAATATAAATTTCTCTTCTTGTGTAGTTGTTTGAAATCTAATCTTCAGATAACTAGTTTCTATCTATAAATCCAACCTCATCTCAAATTCTCCACTGGGCCTTCTAGGCCACATTTTCAAGTTTTACTAACATTCTCTCCACCTCCTATCCCAAAGGGAACACAGCTCTCCTGGAGAAGACAATGCTACACATTATCTTAGCCCTGTTCTACTGCCTGTTCTTATTCCAATATCAACCATTAACATTTGGTCATGCTTAGAAAGGACCCTTGTGTTGGTTGGTTTTATGTCAGCTTGACACAAGTCAGAGTCATTTGGGTAGGGGAACCTCATCTGAGAAAATGGCCCTATCAGACTGATCTATGGGCAAGTCTGTGATCTATTTTCTTGATTGGTGATTGATATGGGAAGGCCCAGATAACTATAGACAGTTGTCATCCCTGGGCAGGTGGTCCTACTTGTTTAAGAAACAGATTGATCAGTCAGGCATGGTGGCTCATTCCTTTAATCCCAGCACTTGGGAGGCAGAGGCAGGTGGTTCTTTGTGAGTCTGAGGCCAACTTGGTCTATAGAGTGAGTTCCAGGACAGCCAGGGAGGGATATAGAGAGAAACCCTGTCTCAAACAAACAAACAAATAAAAAGCAGGCTGAACAAGCTATGGGGAGTAAGCCTCCTCTATGGCCTCCATATCAGTTCCTGCCATGTGTTTCTGCTCTGACTTCCCTGGATGATGGACCTGTGATTTGTAAAATGAAATAAAAGTTGCTTTTGGTCATGGTGTTTTATCATAGAAATAGAAACCTAATTAAGCCATCCCTGCTCCTTTGTGACTCAGGTTAACAGGCCTGTATCCACTCTAGGACACGACAAGGAAAACCATAAGAATTTCTATTCAGGGTTCTGCGAGCATGCTCTTCTCTATGTCTTTTACATACCAGCTTTCTTCCCTCCCTAAGCAGAAAGTCTCCTTTCATTCCTGAAACATTCAATAGGTTGACAGTCTTTCCACAGTGTTAGAACCCCTTCATCTGTCTTCTCTGCACCTCAGCCCAATACACTGGTCTCTTTTACATCCTGCAATCAATCATTTCCTGCAATTTGCTCCTTATCTTCAGCAAGGTAATAAGCTCAAGTTTCAACTACATAATTTAATAAAAGAAATAAAAGCTTCCTATCATAAAATTTTTATTACAAAAAATTTGAAATTGTACAAATCAGTCATTGCAAAAATTCAAATACAAGCCGGGCAGTGGTGGCACAGCCTTTAATCCCAGCACTCAGAGAGAAAGAGGCAGGCGGATCTCTGTGAATTCGAGGCCAGCTTGGTCTACAGAGTGAGTTCCAAGACAGCCAGAGATACACATAAAAACCCTATCTCAAAAAAAAAAATTCAAATACAGAAAGAAACTAGGAGTTCCCATATCACAACCATCAATACCAGTGTTTATGGCAATTTCCTAGACTTTTGTCTTCCACCATCCAAGCCCTAAGTTCCAATTTCCTCATCCTTTGTTACTAGACAATGGCCACTGAGATTTTTGTCCTTGTTCTTTTTGAGACAATAATCTTAGTATACTAGACTATGCAGCCATGAGTGACCTCCTGATCTTTCTACATACAAATTCCAAAGTGAAGATCACAGATGTGCACCAGCCTAATTCTACCACTGAGCTTTTTGTTTGTTTGCTTCTTTGTCTTATGTGTATGTGTGTATTACTTGCACATGTGACTATGCAACATATGTGCGGTGCCCGAGGAAGCAAAAAAAAAAAAAAAAAAGAGGGAGCCCACCTGATTCCCTTGGAACTGAAGTTACAGACTACTGCTGCCATGTGGGTACAGGGAATGGAACCTAGGCACTTTGGAAGAACAGTCAGTTCTCTTAACCACTGAGCCACCTCTCCAATCCCCAACTGAATTTTTTAAACAAAAGTCTATTCTTGAGGCTGGGAGTGCTGGTATACACCTTTAATCTCAGCACTCAAGAGGCAAAGGCAGGCAGATCTCTGGATTTCTGTTTAAAGTCAGCCTGGTCTACATAGTGAGTTCCAGGACAACCAGGTCTATGTAGAGAGATCATTTAAAAAAAAAATCTTGGGTGAATAAATTTGTTGAGTGGCAAAATAAACCATTGTCCAATACTTGAGACCTTGTGTTTCATACCAACACCACACTAAAAATAAGACATGACACACCTGGCAGCGGTGATGCACTGGGGAGGCAGAGGCAGGTAGGGCTCTGTGAGTTCGAGGCCAGTCAAGTCTACAGAGCCACTTCCAAGAGAGCCAGAGCTGTTGTACAGAGAGAAAACTTGTCTTGACAAACCAAAATCAATAAAAATATATAATAATAATAAAATAAAAATCAGACAGATTCTTGCTGGGCATGGCGGCACCATGCCTTTAACCCAAGCACAGTTAGGCCAGCATGGTCTGGTCAGCAAGCTCCAGGTTAGCCAGCATTATGTAATGAGACCCTGTCTCAAATAAATAAATAAATGAAACTTTCAAAACCCTATCTTTCACCTGATAGTAAATAAATAAACAGGAAATATTCTACCCCCAACTTCCTCATCCCCCTGCAACAAAAAACAAGCTTTGGCCCCACCATAGTGTTGACACTTTTCCCACCAAAACCACTCACTCTGCTGGTTTCAGAGGATATCTCTCATATCATCACATTTGACCACAGTTGATGAAGACCACAGATCACTCCTTCCCACTTGCGTACAGGTTCCTGGTTTCACTTCTATAGTTCCTGGCTCACACCTCTTTGCCTGAGCCTATCTTCTACTCTGAGCCTTCCCAGCTTTCCCCATGGTGATTTGAATGTCACCATGATGCATGGCCTGACTCAAGAATCCCACACCCTGAGCTTCAGATCTGTTCATTAAGTGTAGAATGGCTATGCCCACTTGATCCCAGCACATCCAAATGCAAACATCCTCCCTCCATCTTTGCTACACTGTGTACCCAGGGGCTCCACATAACAGAATCCAGAGTGTCACCTGGGTTCCTCCCTTTCCCACTCCTCTGCCCCAATCATTTCTCAGGATCTTCCCTGTCTAGTCTACATCCAAACTCTCACACAGATCCATCTACTCCTCTCCAAATCCCCTGCCACCATATGTGCAAGCTTTAGGTTTGTAGCTTCTACTTTTAGTGAACACCTTCCTCCCACCACACCTAAGTCCACACACAGGAGAATGTGAGCAGTCTTCCACGGCCCTTCTCACAACCTTCAGTGACACGGCGATGCCTGCAGGAAAAAGTCAAAGCTCCTTACTACAAAATGCAACACTTTTCTCAATGTCGTTTATCTCTGGCCTCACTGTTCTTCTTGCCTCTCAAACCCTCAGCAAGCCAGAACAGACTACTGGGAACTCCTCAAATAAGTCAGGCTTAACTTTCTCCTCCATGCCTGGGATCTGTGTGCACTGTTTCTCTATCTGGCACAGTTCCTGCCACCTGTATGCCAAGCAAATGTATCTCTTCAGAACACAACCTATTCCACACATATATGATAGTGTATTTGGGAAAGGGAGTCTTCTGTGTTCTCCCAGGACATTCTGTACTTCTTCCAGAACAGAACTTTTCATCCTCCCAAATTATCTGTAAGGCATTTGAGCGGAGGAGTAATACAGCAATTCCCCAGTGGGGGAATCCAAGGTCTAAAGCACAAACGTAGGTGTCAAATCTCCTTATATCTCATCACCTGTATGACTTTGATCAGCTTTTTGTGTGTCAGGGTCCTCATCTAAAACATGGATTAAAAATATTTATCTCACATAGTTGTGGAAAGCTGTAAAGTGGGGTAGGGAGAAGAACACAGAGAAAGAGAGGAAGAGGGAGAAATGGGGAGGGAGAGAGGAAAAAGAATATCATTCCCCCATTAAATAGAACTCCTAGGGCAGTGAACAATTGTATCCCAGCAGTGAGAAGAGGCAAAAAGAGAAGGAAACTTAAGATCATCCTAGCAGATGCAGCAAATTCAGGCTAAAGGAGACCCTAACTCAATAAACATATACAGGGGCTTGGAGAGGTGGCTCAAGAAACAACAGTGGTAGGGGCTGGAGAGATAGCTCAGAGGTTAAAAGCACTGATTGCTCTTTCAGAGGTCCTGAGTTCAATTCCCAGCAACCACATGGTGGCTCACAGCCATCTAGAATGAGATCTGGTGCCCTCTTCTGGCATGTTGTATACATAATAAATAAATCTAAAAAAATAATAAATAAACATAAAAAAAGAAACAACAGTGGCAGCTATGAAAGCATGAGTCCCAGTTTTGATCCCAGTGGTTACAATGTACAAGATATTTCCTAACTATTCAACTAATCTAAGCACGACCCAATCCGAGAGACATAATTTGTGCTGTACACTTAAGGAAACTTATGTGTAAAAGTATAAAAATTATATAAAGTAAACTACTTTATAATTCAAGACTAAACTTTGCAAATCTAGCATCAGAGTCTACCACTTATCATAACTAATACTACTGCTTTTCTTTTTGTTTTGTTTGGGGGGGGGTTGTTGTTATTGTTTGAGACAGGGTGTCACTTTGTAGCCAGTGGCCTAGAACTTACTATGTAAACCAGGGTGGCTTAGACCTCACAGAGATTCACTACCTCTGCCTCCCTAGTGCTTGGACTAAAGGCAGAAGCCACCACAACCTGCTCAAACTGCATTTCAAAGAAATCCAGGTAAGTGCAGACTAAACAGCTGTGAGGCAGAACCAGCTTATTCCCTAGCTGGAAAAAACTGCAGAAGTAAAAGAAAAGTAACAGAGTATTCATTCTTCCCTGAGAACCCTTCCATTCTCCAGAGAGTTTTGTCCTTTTTCCTAAGAAACCCGTGTTCAGGCTGGGAGAGAAAGAAAAGAACAAACAGGAGCTTCAGGAAAGAATAACCATGCCCAACTTCCAGCCTGTTAAGGTCAAGAAAAAGACAGCTGACTTTATACTGACCATAACCTTGATGAGTGAAGAGATGTGAGCACTGGGGATTAGAGTACACCAGGAAGGAGCACTAGGGAGACAGCTCGGTATCAAGAGCACTTCTTGTTCTTGCAGAGGGCCTGGAATTAATTTCCAGCACCCACATGGGGGCTCATAATCCTCTGTAACTTCAGTTCCAGTGACTCCAATGCTCTCTTCTGACAAGCATGCACGTGGGGCATACATACATACATGTAGGCAAAATACTCATAAAACAAATCTAATAATAAAAAAAGAGTAGCTTGCCGGGCGGTGGTGGCGCACGCCTTTAATCCCAGCACTCGGGAGGCGGAGGCAGGTGGATCTCTGTGAGTTCGAGGCCAGCCTGGTCTACAAGAGCTAGTTCCAGGACAGGAACCAAAGCCACAGAGAAACCCTGTCTCGAAAAAAACAAAAAAACAAAACAAAAAAACAACAAAAAAAAAAAGAGTAGCTTAAAAAAGATAAAAGTACACCAGGAAGAGACTGTATGAGCATCTGCTCCAGAAGGTCTGGCAGCAAAACCAAAGCAAAGCTCCACGGGGAGGGAAAAAGAGGTAAAGCCGGGAAAACAGAGAATGAAGATGTCAAACTCGTTCGAAATGAAACGTCAGCACTTTTGAAAATTTTTACATTTTCGTGAAAATGACTGTGCATCTCTACCAGTAAGAGTGATGTCTAAACATCCTTGAAACCCAGACTGGTTCTGCTCAGATACTACACCAACAAGGTGACAGCGCTGGCCTGGAACAAGGCTCCCTCCCACCTGTAATCCCAGCACACCGGATGCTTAATCAAGATGAACGTCCAGGTGAGCCTGGGCTACAGTGTGAGACCCCACCACCTGTCAAAGACAAGACCAGTGACAGCTCTAACGGCTGAATTCTTCCTCTGCTAACAGGATGAGGCACAGGTCACAAAGAATAAAGGCGGAATGTGGACATCTCCCAAAAGTATCGCAGGGGAATCACCAGGATAAGTTTAAAAGCAACAGAATCTGCCTCTGCAGTCTGATCCTGCGGGTTCAGGATGCTGTATTCTTCGACAAATGCATCGGATGCTCAAGACAGCTTAAGAAAATGATACCAAGTCCCTGCCGCCAAAAAGCAGACCCTAAAATGGTGCCTTTCCGACTGGGTCCCTCGACCACACGCCATCCCTTTACATCCAGATTGCAAGATTGTGCAGAAATGCTCAAAGTGGGCTTGGAGACCGTGGACTCGAACCTCAGTATCACACACAACGGCCCCTCAAGCCGCCCATTCGAAACCCCACAGCCCTGACTGGCAAAGCACAAACGAACAGTGCGTTTCTAGGCGGGAAAACAATTCCACCTGCAGACGTGTGGGGAACACAGCTGGCTGGGACCGCAGGTGCGTGCCCGCTCGAGCTGCAATCAGCCCCGAGGCCCAGCCGCCCTGAGGGAGCCCGCGCCCAGGCCCGGGGTAGCCGGCGCGGGACCCCGAGGTTCCGCACAGCTCCACTGACCCAAACTCTCGCGTCCAAACACACGGCCTTAGAGACCAGGAGAAGAACCGGGACCCGGAGGCTAAAGCGCAGAGGACGGGGGCATAGAGGACGCAGGAGTTCACGGGACGACAGGCCGCCCCACCCTCTTACCTCGGAGGTCCGCCAGTGCGGGGAGCGCGTTCGGCAACGCCCCGCGGAAGTGGAGGACAGCACAACAGCTACAGAGGGTCGGCGCGGGCCGGAAAAGGGGACGGGGCATGGGGAGGGGAACGGGACGCTGAACGGAAAGTTCCGGGACCGCAAGGGCCTGCGACCTTCCGCGCTTTACGGCCCGCGGCAAGGGTAAGGCCAGCGCGCGCGCGCGCCAACGCTCCGTGACGTCACCGCGACGGACCGGCCCGCACGTGGGCTTGTTTGGGTCTCGCCAGGCCCCGCCCCCCGCGACCGCGCCCCCTCTGTCAAAATGGCGGCGTGCGGGAGGCGCGCGCCTCTGGGAGGCTTGCTCTTTGTTTTCCGGCCTCCCGCCCGGCTTCATTTCTACGTCGAGCCCGAACTTCGGAGCCGGGCCACAGCCTCGACCTAGTGTGTCATCTGCCACCAGGCCTGAGCCCCGGTCCTGCTGCGGTAGATCCGCAACCCAGAGCCCCATCGCCGGCCGGTGGTCGCGCTGTCTTCTGTCCCCGCACGGCGCTGAAACCCTTTCGATGCAAGGCTTTGGCAGAGCCCATCGCAAAACTTGTTCTGCGGGCCTGGCCGGACCTCAGAAGCCTAACCAGCCGACCTGACTTCCCATCTTACTCCTTGCACCTACCCGGCTTGTCTCTACTCAGAGGAAGAGACATTGTTTACTCGAGCTCCGGAAACATCTTTTACCTGCCATCCCCTTCTCTTTTCCTGTCAATCGTCAGAGGTGTCCCTTGACTGGCTCCTGACTTCTCTATGCTGAGAATTCCTTGGAGAGTCAAATATTTTGCATGAATAATGTTTCTTGGGAGATTTGGATGCACTTACCATTTTGTCCTTTGCAAATATATCCGGCATCCTTGTTTAACTGTTTGTCAAATACAGAGATTGCAGGAATAGGAAGATTCCTTTAGCACCTGTTTCTAAAGATGCATGCCAGGGTGTGCTCTGGATACCAAGAACTGGAGTCAGAGCACCTTTCCGTAGGTTGGTTCTGGTGTCTTGCATTCTGAAATGTCGGGTAGCTGTAGATAGTAAGAACGAGAAAGAAAGCTGGGCATGGTGGCAGATGCCTTTAATCACAGCACTCTAAAGGCGGAGACAGGTGGATCTCTGTGAGTGAGAGGCCAGCCTGGTCTACAGAGCGAGTTTCAGGACAGCCAGAGCTGTTCCACAGAGAAACCCTGTGTCAAAAAACAAAACAAAAATAATGAGAAAGAAGGAAAGTTTGTCTTGGACTGTAGACTCTTGTTACCCCACCCAGTGTCCTTCCTCAGAACAGTGAAGTAGAAAGCTATGCAGATCGTTTCACTATAGGGCTTTCTAGCTAACACTGAACTCTTTGGTCAAATCTTAGTATGTATCAGGTACCACTGTAATTATTGTAATGGCCTGAAATTTATTTGTGCTTATGAGTGATATTTCCCCTCAGCCCACTTCTGTTCCTATGTAGAGTTAGCATGTGCTATTGAGAACATTCCAGATGCTTGAATAGATGGACATAAGAGGCTATCTGACTAAGCTGGGTGGTTGTGGTGCACACCTTTGCCCCCTTTTTTTAAAAAAAATATTTATTTATTATGTATACAATATTCTGTCTGTATGTCTGCACCAGACCTCATTACAGATGGTTGTGAGCCACCATGTGGTTGCTGGGAATTGAACTCAGGACCTTTGGAAGTGCAGGGAATGCTCTTAACCTCTGAGTCATCTCTCCAGCCCCTCATGTTTGTTTTAAAATGTCCTTCAGGGCTGGAGAGATGGTTCATCCATTTAAGAGCACTGGCTGCTCTTCCAGAGGTCCTGAGTTTAATTCTCAGCAACCATATGGTGGCTCACAACCAAACGTCTGTAGTGGGATTTGATGCCCTCTTCTGGCATAAAGGTGTATGTGCAGACAGAGCACTCATACATAAATTCAATAAATCTCTTAATAAAATCTCTTTTAAAATGTCCTTCAGTAGTAACTTGGTGCTATATGTCATCTGCCATCTGAAAGGATACCCTGTCCATAAAACTGTTTGCACCTGTGATACAAAGGTGGAAGGTTTTGGAAACCCAGGGAAAGAAGGTACACACTGACTCTGACTGTGGAGAGAGTACCTTCTCTTCCTCCTCCCCCAGCTAGTGTTGCTGTCTGTACACTTTACTTCAGTCTACCTTGACTTATAGCAAAGACGGATGGACCCGTGCCCCATAGAATGTCAGCCCACGTTCATGGTGATGCTGAATGAAAGGTATGTGCACTATTTGCCAGACTCCGAGAAGAAGAACCTGGTCAGAGACAAGCAGCTGGCATACTTTCACTAACTGTAGCTTCCTTGCACAAACCACGGGGCATTGTGGCTGCCCCTGCTGGGTGGTGTGCATCTGTTGGGTCTGTGTCAAATGTATTGACTTACAGATGGCCATCATCTCCCTGTGCCTTCATGTTGTCCATCTCTCTCCAGGGTCTCATGTAGCTGGGGTTAAAGGTGTGCACCACTGCCCAGCTGAATTTAGAATCTTAATACCCCAACTGCCTCTCCAGTTCATGAACACCCATCTCCTTGATGGAGCATTTCCTTTCCAGGCAACTAGCCCTACATGGTATCCCCACTGTCTTCTTTTCTTTCCTTTCTTTTTAAAAAGATTTTTAGATTTAGTGTCTACTTGTATTATGTGCCTAATTCCTGTAGAATCCAGAAGAGAGTATTGGATCCTCCAGAACCAGAATTATGGATCACTGTGAGCCACCATGTGAACACTGAGAACCAAGTTTGGGTTCTCTGCAAGAACAGCAAATGCTCTTAACCACTGAGCTATATCTCCAGCCCTCCATCTCCCCTCTCTAAGACAAGATCTCACAGTATAGCTCTGGCTAACCTAACATTCCCTAAGTAGACGATGCTGACCTCTTCAAAGACATTCACTGCCTCTGCCTCCCAAGTGCACCACCACCCCTGGGTGTCTTGCTTTCTGACATCCCTTTATTTGTTCATCATCCTGTTGCATGAATTTTTCCTAAGAGACACAAATATCTAATCACCCCAAACAGAGCACCAATGACAGACCAAAAGGATGATGTCATCAAAGTCCCAACTTGGCAAAGGAATGGATTTGTTTAAATTACTTACAGGCCATGGTTGTAGGGTTACTTCTAGGAACATGAGTGACCCCCGAAAGTCTCAATCCATCTTAGATGACATCCCCCATAGCTGCACAGCTGGCATTCCCCTTCAGTTCCTTCTACCCACAGTATACCTTCTGAGACCATGAGACCTCCTGCAGTGGGGACCGAATTGCATACGGCTGACAGAGAGGTATAGGAAGGAGTGGCTGGAATCTCAGGCAAGGGTGTTTCAAAGTTTCTTAAAAGATTGGTTTGCGCCGGGCGGTGGTGGCGCACGCCTTTAATCCCAGCACTCGGGAGGCAGAGGCAGGCGGATCTCTGTGAGTTCGAGACCAGCCTGGTCTACAAGAGCTAGTTCCAGGACAGGCTCCAAAACCACAGAGAAACCCTGTCTCGAAAAACCAAAAAAAAAAAAAAGATTGGTTTGCCAGTCTTAAAATGAGGATTAACTGTAATTGCCTTGCAGATCAAATGGAACTCATTTCTACCTATGATTTCACACACTGACCTCTAGGTGGCGCTGTGGGCCATGGGTTGCAGTAACCTGGCCTCCAGCATTGCGTAAACTCTGTTAGGATATTAGTCCCAAATCAGACTGAAAATTTCCCCGTGAAGGTGGATAACTGAGGGTGACTGCTATGGTAGAAGTTCAAGCCTGTAATCCCTGCAACTCAGAGACTACTGCACGACTGCAGTTTGTTTTATGTTTGTTTCTTCATTGTTGGCGTGGCAATGACAAGGTCTCTTGCAGCTTGGACTGGTTTCTGATTTGCTTTATAGTGAAGGATGGTCTTGAACTCCTCATCCTCCTGCATGCACCTCCGCAGTATTGGGATTACAGGCATGTGCCACCACATCACCTGATGAACCCAAGGTTTCATGCATAATTGACAGATACTGAAACAACTGAGCTATATCCTAAGCCCGGGGACAGAAGTTTCAAAGCCAGTCTGAGAAATTCAGCGAGACTGTCTCAGATAAAGAGTGGAAAACAACAACAATAAAGACAAAAAAAAAACCCAACAACAAACATTGGAGAGGAAGACTAGGGATATAGCTCAGTGATAGAGTTTCCCTAACAAACATGAAGTCTTAGGTTCAATTCATAGTGAAAAAAACAAAACCAAACATAAGCTCAGTGTGGTCATGTATGCCTGTAACTCAAGCACTTGGGAGGCCAAGGCAAGGGTATTGCATTTTGTTTGATGCCTCCCTGAGCTACATATTAATATCAAGCCAGTCATAACTAGTGAAAGGCGGACACATACAACACAAAGAGGGAGAGCTGAGGAGATGGTTCAGTATTTATCAAGTACTTACTATGTAGGCATGAGAAGCCAAGTTCAAATACTCAGGACCATCTTTAACCCCAGCAGTCAGCACCGGGAAGCAGAGGCTGGTGGATCTCTGTGAGTTTGAGGCCAGGATAGGCTCCAAAGCCACAGAGAAACCCTGCCTCAAAAAACAAAAACAAACAAACAAAGAACCCAAATTCTCAGGACCTACATAAGCTAGACACGGAAGCATGCCTCTATAATCCCAGCACTGCGACGGTAGAAGCCTCAGAAACTCATGGGCCAGCCAGCCTGGAACACACAACATTAAAATAAAAGACCCTGGTTAGGCTGCAGTGGTACACAACTTTAACCCCAGCACTCAGAAGGCAGAGGCAGGCGGATCTCTGTGAGTTCAAGACCAATCAGATAAACAGAGCAAGTTCCAGGACAGGTTCCAAAACTACAGAGAAACCCTGTCTCAAAAAACCAAAAAGAGAAAAGAAAGAGGGAGTCTCAGGCTCGTGGATAAATAATAAAAAGTATCATTATTTTTATAATAATAATTATACGTAATAAAAGTAGAAATCATGATGTGCTAGTTCCCCAGTACAGACTCTCACTTTGGGCTTGACTTGGGTGATGCCTTCCCCTTGTTTACAGTCTGGAGATTATACTGCCCAGGCATCAGATCTCCCAAGAAATAGAACCAACAGGCCTTTAATCCCAGTACTCAGAGGCAGAGACAGCA